GTCTGGCTGCCGCGTCCCTCCACAGCCCAGCTCGCGGCAGACCACGGCTGAGTCCCTCGAGTCCCAGCTGTCATCACACACGGTGCCCCACTGTCCGGCGTGCCACACCTCCAGGCGACCTGAGCACCTGCCGGGTCCAGCCACCAGCCGCAGGCGGGGTGACCCTGGGGTAGGAGAGACCCAAGAACGAGAGGGTCAGGGAAGCTGCCAGCCCCTGACTTCGATTTATTGGTTCTGGTAAAATGAACGTAACAAAACATTGGCCATTTTCAGTATCTGTAAGTATGCAGCTGAATGAAATTAATTACATGTACCATGTTGTGTAATTGCCACTCTCATTTCCAGAAGTTTTCTGTCACCTCAAATAGAAACTCAGTATCTCTTGGACAACAATTTGCTGGCCCCTTCTGCCCGCCCCCGGCCTCGGTAACAACTAATTTACATGTTGTCTATTAATTTGCCTGTTCTAGGTATTTCATATAATTGGGATCATACAGCATGTGGCCTCTGTGTCCAGTGTACTTCACGTAGCATAACATTTTTAAGGTTCACCCATGTAACAGCATGTCAGGACTTCACTTCTCTTACGGCTGCACAATACACCACGTCCTCACTTACAGACGCGGCAAGGTTTCAAAGACCACTCGTTATGTGAAAATCGGTGTTATGTGAAAACGGAAGTGACTACATCCTTCCATAACTCCCAAACCACTAAGGATCACGGCCCAGCCAAGTGGACACATAACCTCATGACCTTAACCCTCACAGCCAGTGTCCACCTCACACCTGGGCGTTCGTTACTGCCAGAGGTATGTCAGGACTGACAGACGTATGTGAAAAACAGACAGTAGAGTTTTCACTGTTGTTGTAAATGTGAAAGGTTGGGTAGCGAGGTACTTGACCCTGAGGAGAGGGTGTGGTCCACCATATGTGTATCCCACATTTTGCTTCTCCGTTCATCTGTCGATGGACACTGGGCTGCTTCTGTCTTTTGGCCGCTGTCCATGATGCCGCTGTAAACACCGGGGTACAAGTATCGCCCTGTGTCTCTGCATCCATCTTCTCCTCCACCCTTTCAACTCCTTGCTCTCACCTAGGCCTTCCCTCACCCACTCATCCTTCCTTGGGGACACTAAGGCATTACTGAGGTTTTCTCTGTGGCATCTTCTGCATTAGGCACCAGGGGAAAAGAGACGCTGGTGGCTCCTCAAACAGTTAAGCCCAGAATTACCATCGGCCCAGCAATCCCGCTCCTGCGTGCACACCCGAGAGACCCGAAGGCAGGGCTCAAGCACACACTTGTACAGCTGCATTCACGGCAGCATGGTTCACAGTGGCCAGAGAGTGGAGGCAACCCACCTGTCCGTCAGCAGGGGAGTGGACAAACTGGTATATCCATGTAACGGAATATTACGCAGCCGTACAAAAGAGTGAAGTACTGGTTACACGTTACAACGTGGTGAACCTCAAAAGCATTATGCCAAACGAAGAAAACTAGTCACCAAAGACCACATATTGTACGATTTCATTTCTAAGAAACACCAAAAAAAAAAAAAAACCTCACTGCTGTCAATTTGATCCCAACTCACAGCAACCCTATAGGACAGAGTGGAACAGCCCGAGAGGGCTTCGAGCGCTGTCAATCTTCACAGAAGCAAAGCCCAAACCACACCCACTGCCTGGAGTCCATTC